GCGGATTGTGCACCTTTCGGTAAGATGAAGGAGAATTTGTGTGGTTAACTATTCACCAATAACGACGAACTGCAAGTGGCTGTCCAGGAGTGGACTCTCAATACTCCTAAAATTGGTCTGTAGCAGCCATTCTAAATCTTCCTGGAAAGCTTCCAGTTGGGTGGGGATTACCTAATTATTCATATGCATTCTGGAACCTAAAAGTAACATTCTGTTAATCTACTCCTAATCTCTTGATATAACTGATTATTGAACGACTGAAGCACAAAAATTTATTATGCTCATCATTTATTAATTCCTGATGCTGTAATGTTATTTTGCTGTAAGTGGTATTTTACATCCTTGTACAGTTTTTAAATTTTTGGGAATACAAATATTTAAAAAATCAATCATATCCCATCTATATCGCAATATTAATATATCATTAAAGAAAAATTATTGTTCATACAATATTAAGATATGAATGAAGCTATCTTATTAGGATACATAGTTATATGCTATTTTATTTCCTTATTTCACTTTAACTTTTCATTAATGTAATAATTACTTTTATCCAGATCTTTACCTGATGCAGATGTGAGGAAAAGAATCAACAACATTAGCGAATATTTGACGTATGAAGTATATCGATATGCTGTCAGAGGTTTTTACGAGTGTCATAGATTCCTATTTGTTTTAATGCTGACTTTGAAGCTGCAACTAGAGGGTGGTAACATTACATACAATGAGTTTTTCACCTTCGTGAAAGGTGAGTAAAATGTTATCGTTTCCATCTTATCTTTGAATTATGTATATGCCATCCTATGTCGAAGATTTTTGATATGAAGATGAACTATGTAGCAATAATGCAGATATGTTTAAGATGTCAAAATACAAGCTTTAATTCCTTAAAATGTTGATTCTAAGTATTATAAATATTTTCAAAATATAATACGAAGTTTCTATAAATGCACTGAAGAATCTGTGATCTCAGCCCATCTTAGTTTTCTTGGCTGCCAGTACAAGAGGAGCATCGTGAGTCCATTTATAGTGATACAATCGCAAAAGCAAATAAAACACTGCACGGCAAAGTTGTGGAGTTCTTGAAATTAAGCCCTACTTTATTTTTGAGGCAAATTATAGCCGTTTACGGACGTAGAAATTGTCTGGTTATGAGCTTCCATTATCGAGCTACATGATTTTTTGACTGTAGTCATTTATGACCTGGATAGCCATACGTGTATACTCCAGCCCGCCATTGGAACATGTTAACGGTTCAGCAGTATTTGGTGTGATAGCAATACTGCTAGTGTGTTGACATGGAATCCAGGGCGATATTCTTGTAGGATAATATCCGGATGTATAGGGTTCGCTTGCTCGACTGCTAGTTTCAGATATAGACATTTTCATGATCTGACATATGCTCGGACGTGTTCCCTATCGAGCTCAGCTGAGACACCAACTGACAACTTGCTTTAGCATCCAAAATTTGGAACATCCTGTCTAACAATGTACGTTTGTACGCTGCGGTACAGCATTAGGCATTTATTTCGAATCCATACCGAATTCATCTGCAACGGTATCGCAATATGAAGTGGTGTAAGACAGTACAGAATGCGTTTTGTAGTTTCTTCTGTAACTGGCCTGTTGCTCTGTTTTCCCGGTTATATGTAAGATGGGCGTTCAAGTATGAAAAATAGCTTATCATTTAAACTTTATTTATTAAATATAATGAAACGACTAATATACTGTTTTTCTATATATTCACTCACCAAATGTAATACATTCGTTTCAGCCACCAGGATAAGTTTTAAATCTAGAAATTCTAGAAACATATGTATCAGGCTTTAGAAACATATTTTATCACCAAATGGGGAACATTATGGGAATTTCTAGCTTACCAATCTTCCAAAGTTTTGGAAGCTTTATAAAGTGCATTTTTGAGAGCTAAAGATTCATTTTTCCAGCATTCCAGGAATCAAAATGTTCTGAAATTACTAGAAATATTCTGTGGAATATTCGTTCGTTTATATTAAGCAGTTATTTTATGTTAATTAGTTTTTCTGTTTCTCTCTCTTTCCAATTTGCTGCCAGAATGCTAATTTCTAGCTCGTGCGTATCCAAATGAGGTAGAAAAGAGATAGTATTTAAAGGAATTCTTTAAATACTATCTCTTTTCTTTCAGATTTCAGAGGGTAAAATCAGAGCACGTTCCGCCTGTTACCTTGATACTAGATCCTCCTGAGAGCAGTTTATTTTCAGCGCTGCGTTATTCTCATCATTAGGCTTGTCCCGACGATTTTAGTTTTTTTGAACCAATTTGCACGCATTTTATCTATGTAGCCTGTTTGGCTAACAGTTAATCGTTAACTAACGATTAACTTAGCTGAATTTCAGTTCGTTACTACTATATTAATCCATAAAAGGCGGCTGGTTCTATAAGCACGAACACTGCCTTCTGTTAACTTTTTTCAGAGTTAAATAAAAAAGACACAAGCAGTCCTTTACAACCAAGCGACGTCTATGCTGAGATTTCCAACACATACAGATAAGTCGCTTACGATTATTTGCTTAGAGCTCTCTGCTAGTTTATGTTACCAAACTAAGTGAGACTTTGTAATTCTGTTAACTTTATCTCCACATCCTTCCTGTTCGGGGAATTTTATGATATAGCTGATAACGTTCAAAATCATTATATAGGTTGTTCTGCGAGGGATAGTGAATCAATGGCTTTCCACTTTTTAAAAGCCGATTTTCGTTTGTGAATTTAAACACACTGCTTGCAAACCATGCGTCATTTCTTTTATCAAGACGAATCTCGTTAACCATGTGAAATAATGTGTTCAAATTGGAAATGCTGAGATTCATTTGCCTTAAATCCAATTTAATATATATGCTTTTTTATCCTTATTTTTACTTACTGCGCGCCTGTTTATCTCTTTATTTAGGACGCATTCCGGACCGCCTGATGAGCGAAGCTCGTCTTATGACACGAAGGAGCCCATATTACATTACACACAAAAAAACAAAAACAAAAAACTTATGAACAAAAAATAGAATACAAAAAAACAGAATACAATAGGAAATCAAGCTATAAAACAAACAAGCATCTTCTTACTGGTATTTATAGTACAAAGCTATAAAAACCACTAAGACGTCACATTATGAGATAATAAAGAACTAACATGTAAATAAGGAGTTAGTACGACCTCACGTAAAAACAAAATAAATAAGCGGTTAATACAACATTAAGTAAAACCAATATAAAGCAGACAAAAACTAATGCCAAGCAAGTTATTAAAATTGTACAAACAGTCAAAAGTTGAACTCAAGCCACAATTCCAATTCTTTCTCTATTTGAATTAATATTTTTCATGATCTCTCGAGCAGTTTTATAATTCTTCCTATCATATATTTTTCCATAAAAGCGATCATAAATCTTGATGGAATGAAAACGTTAGACCACATCCACACAAAAAATGTTTATTATCTCCTAATGTTTTGCAAAAAAGACAGTTCTGATTTTCCTGAATGCCAAATCTGTGCAAATAAAACGGGAAATGACCATGTCCCGTAATAAACTGAATAAAATCAGTGTCATTAATAAGCCGCATTTTCCCTTTTATTTTAAAAAACCTGAAAAATTCCTTATTTTTGTCCGAATTATTACAGATATTGTTCCAACTATTAATTACCATACCTTCTAGGACGGTACATGCGCCTAGGACGCATCTACACGCACCTAGGGTGCGGTACATGCGCCTAGGATCTTCTAGGACGGTACTGCGCGCCTGTGTAATTCTATAGTTATCGTGAGAAAACTTTCTTTCTCAAGATAACTGCAGAATTAACACACGATGACGGTCAAGGAATTTACGCAACGGTCATGGTTAAGGACTATATGCAGCAGATATCTAGTTGCGTATATTCCTTAACTAATCAGATTGCCTTATGACAACCATGTACACTGCAGCACTTTTTACAATCAAGGAAAAGGCGTTACACTGAATGGATCAGAAGTTGTGATAGTGATAATGTGTGTTAGATTGCGTCGCTCGAGCTCTGATAATGGGATGTGAAAAAATGGGCTTGGAAAAGAGACTTCGAAGATTATCTACTAAGTTATCTTTGTCTTTTGGATGCATTAGGGCAGATGAGTTAAAGGAAAGTTTATAAATTCTTCTGTACTTGGCTGCGTCGATTTTGAGCGTCGACGTTTTACAATATTAATATACAAGTAACGTAAAGCAAGTTTTCACAAAATAGAGCATACTTGTATGAATTACTTACAGAGTACACATGTATTTATATAAATATTAGGGCTTCATGCATGTAATATATGTACATACATGTAAGATATAACAAAATATAATAGCCGTTTAAAAAAAAAATCGGCGAACTCAATTAACATTCTAAATTTGGTGAATTACCCCTGGGTTCATCTTTTCCCACAAGTTCCAGATTTTTCTATATTACGTAACGTTTTAATAAAGATACTCTTGTCCAATCAAATTTAATTGTAAACCAAAACTCTGAACTGAAACTTTTCCCACTCCCAACCTTTTTCCTCCCGAAGTACTATGACACTCTTCCTTTTTTCGCGTAAGCTCTCCTGCTGGCAAGACGCTTTTCATCCACGCTGCTTAAGATGACGTCGTGCTTCAAAATGAGACTTGTATTTATATGTAATTAGGAAGCATCTTGTCTGCAAAAGGATGGTTTGATATGCGTAAAAAAATAAAGATTGTGATTCTTCAAAATCCGTTGTGCTAAATTGCGTCTTCATGCTTTCCACTCAGCCACCTTCAAGCCATTACGGTCTTCTCAGCCATACACACAATGTCGTAAGCTGTAAAGTTCCACTGATTTCATCTACGCATTTTAAAATCATTACATATATATACAAAAAATAATTATTTCTAGTATTATCACTAATTGTACAGTGTGTTTATTTTAGGTGGCGCATCACTGGATATGAATTCTGTGAGACCTAGGCCTTTTCCTTGGATATTAGAAGTAATATGGCTGAATATTATGCAGCTTAGTCTTTTACCAACGTTTTCCACTTTGCCAGAAGAGGTTAGTTTTAATCAGCTTTATAACTAAAATCTGATTATATTTTTATAGAAATAATGTGTTAATGCATCCCTTCTTTATTATTCACAAAAAGAAATGTTTCTAAATGCTGATTGATGGAAAAATTGCATAAAAAGTTCCTAATTTTCCATTGAAAGTATCGCTAAAGTACACTGCCCTCCAAAAGGTAAAGCACAGCACGTTTTTGTGTCTAATTTGAGAATGAAGCAACATAGAAACCAGAAATTTAGAGGACATGTGCCCTAAACCGTTCTTTAACGAATGCGACACAGAATGTTTTTAAAGGTCACCCCAAATATGAATTACAACCAAAAATCTCACTCTTGTCAGAGAAATCCAGTCAGAAACAGTATATCACAGTTTATTGAGGAAGCATAGGGTGGTAACATTACAAAAATGGATTCTAATAAGAAATGTGTCCACCCCTAGCTGCAGTACATACGCGACAACGACGTTCCATGCTGTCTATCAAGTTGTCAGTCAATGAAATGGAAAGCGACGGCCAGACGCGGAGTAATCTTTATTCAAGGATTGGATAAGGACACAAGAAGATAAAAAATCTAAAATAGAATAAATGCATTCTTTAAAATTCACTCTAGTATTTGTTTACCATAGCGACACTCTGGCGCTAGATTCACTAAACAGTATTAATAATTATATAACAGTTAACTTATATAATAATTATATAACGGAAACTAAGTTAACTGTTATATAAGCCAATAATTATATAACAGTTAACATATATATTTCGTTCATATTATAACTCAGAATGCACAAAATTTATATCATTTAAAGAATAGAATTATCTGATCGTTGCCACATGTTCTATTCAAATACTATAATAAAGCTAGAATGATGCATAAAAGAAATTAAGCAAACAAAACAAAAAAGAAACAGTTCTTCACAGACGATTGAGTATTTCTCATTTAATTAATGCAGTTCTTACTTCGCGAGAAGGCAAAAATACAGAAAAACTCAAAATATCTATATTAAAAATTACGAAGTAAATCTCAAACGCTTATTTACTCGAAAAAATTCCAGAAAGAATTAAGCATGATTTAATTGGCAATAATAAATGAATGCGTTATGTTTGTTGTTGCGAAGCTAAGTTTCTCTAGATTGGCAACAAATCCACTAGTCTCCTGTTTCAAATGTAAACATCAATGGCCGCCATTAAAACAGGCTTAGCGGCAATTAAACAACTTTAAAATTGCTGATAATTCTAAAAATATTGCACACAGATTTATTAAAGGCATAAAATCTTTAACCGGAAGCTAAAAACAACATAATTCAATCATTTTTAAAGAAACAAATGTACAATTTACAAACATATAACAGTAAAGAAACTGAGATCACTGAGCCGGGTAACAGTATGGATATATATATATAAATATATTTATGTACGTTTGGCGCTGCCGATTGCAACCAAAATACGAGGTGCACATCTACATGTTATAGCAGTCCTATATACAAAATTTCAACATTCTGAGGCTACTCGTTTTTGAGTTATGCGAGATGCGTACGTTCGTACGCACGTACATACATACGTCATACGTTCATACAGATGCCACGAAAAATTCTCTTCAGAATTAATTTTAAAGCAGTTTTATAATTTTTTTTCAGGAAAAGAGTATTTTATTCTGTCCTTACGTACAGATATCACGCAAAAACATCATTAAATTGCATTCGATAGCGGTCAAAATGGATATTTTCGTTGAAATATCTGCCTGAAACTTTTCACGATTACAATACTTCCTTTTTACTTCGTACAAGGAAGTAAAAATGAGACAACCTCAAAATTAAAGTTCAAAACATGTAGTTAAATACAAATTTTAAAGATCAAACTAGTAAGTTATAATCTTCTTGCGCTTTTGAATTAACTTTGAATGTTTTAATATCTTAAATTCCGTTTTTGAAATTGAAATGAGAGTGTAAGGGATATGTCTTCTAAAGTAAGCATCTCGTTCAGATTGTGTTTTTAATGCACACTTTAATTTTAAAATTATTTGCTATTTTTTTAACAAGATTCTTGGCTTAGTAGACTAGTCTTTATCTGGATTGAGTATTAATTGTGAGTTATGGTTTAGATCTAGCAAATAATTTGATGCTTACTTGGAAGTAAGATGAAACACTCTCTTTATTTAGTTATTGTTAATTGAGGGTAGATTGCTTTATTCCCTTTATAAGTCGATTAATCTGCGATCAATGACGATAACTACTTTTTCAATTTTTAGAATTTACCTTTGCTTTTGCGATTTAAGATTTTTCTTAGCAGATTTTTAAACAAGAAGTTGAAATTAATATTTAAAATACTAATTTAAATTCTGACTAAAAATTGTTTTTCATTTATGGTTTTAAATTGAATTTGTGTTACTTAAAGAGTTGGTATATGGAAAGTGTTTTTATTATAAATTATTACTTTACAGCTTTAGCGCAAGTCATAGGCTTTTTAATTTACTTTTAATTACTTTATTTTGAATTTATATATATATATATATATATATACAGGGTTGATTATAATTAAAGTTTAAGTTTCAAACCGCTATAAAAAAAAGAACCACTCATGAAAATGACGTCAAATTTGAAAGGAATGTTATTGAAGAAGGCGGGAAAGCGTATGGCAGAAGAAAAAATTTAGTTTCAAAGAGTTAGCAACAGATGGCGCTGCAAGCGAAAGAAGACTTAAATTAAAATGTTAGTTAAATTTCAGTGTTATAAAAGCCACCAGCAGGTACCAGGCTGTTCCTCATTTCGCGTTTCAGACGTTCGCCATGGGTGTTTCACTGCAGGACCGCGCTCTGCTGGTAAAGCTGTATTACAAGAATGATGATTGTCAAGAGTAGCTCTGCAAAAATTCAGGACACTGAAGGTTATAAAAGAAGGCGTTGGTCCAATGAGTGTCGTAGGTCTAAAGAAAATGATGCAAAAATTCGAAACGACAAGTTCGTTTGATGTGCAATCTGGTAGAGGGAGAAAATGAGTGCATTCGACGGTAGTTGAAGAAGTGGCCACAGCATTACAGGAGGGGTCGGCCGGTGGTGTGCAACCGTGCAGTGCACGAGGAATTGTCCGAACATTGGACAGGCCTACGAGCACAGTGCTGAAAATTGTATGCGAAACATCCTGCAATGCTATCCGTACAAAATTTGGCCATGTGCAGGAGTTGCTTCCGTCTGACCTGGACAGCTAGGGAGACGTTTGCGTTAGAATTCCTGGCTCGCATGGAAGTGGATAATGAATGGCCGTGGAAAATTTTGTGTACAGATATGAAGCCCATTTCCATCTGACACAGGATACGTGAATACCCAGAATTGTCGAATATGGGCAACAGAAAATCCACTGGCGACGCACCCCGTACCACTTCATCCTGAAAAGGGTCATCACGGTATGGTGTGGCTTTACGGCATCATTCATCCTACAACCATATTTTTTCGAGCAAACGGGTGCTTCCGGTCCTGTTACCGCAACCGTCACTGGTCAGAGGTATGCGTCTCTTTTGTGCAACCACGTGATTCCAGGTCTGCAACAGCATGGATGTGTGGATGAAATCATTTTTATGCAAGATGGCGCTCCTCCGCACATTGCACATCCCGTGAAACAGCTGCTGAGGCGCCATTTCGGAAATGCTCGAATTATCAGCCGTCATTTCCCTACATCCTGGCCATCCCGATCGCCTGATCTTACTCCGTGTGATTTCTGGCTGTGGGAGTATCTGAAGGATGTTGTGTTCCGTGCTCTCCAATTGCAAATTTAGCGGAATTAAAGGCACGCATTTCGCAACACATTCTGAACATCACCCCGGAGACACTGCGATCCGTTGTGGAACATGCTGTTTGTCACTTTCAACTTGTTGCACACAACGGTGGACACCATATTGAACATGTTTTGCGCCAGTCTCGCGACAGTTCCGAACTTCTTTGATGAATGGTTCTTATGCGGTATGTCGCCGCAAAACTCTTGAAACCGATTTGTCCCTTTCGATGTGATATGTACAGTCATGCAAATAAAATTATTCAACAATTCTAATTTGTCAATGCGTTTTTTAATGTGTAACTTCCACCTTAGCCATTGTTTTACGAATCATTTCTCGTTTCTCGTCGTGATTCTGCCGCTTACAGCGCCATCTGTTGCTAACTTTTGAAACTAAAATTTTTCTTCTGCCATATGCTTTCCGCCTTTTTCAATAACATTCCTTTCAAATTTCACATCATTTTCATCAGTGGTTCTTTTTTTATAGCGTTTTGAAACTTAAACTTTAATTATAATCACCCTGTATATAAACTTAAAGCATCTAAATTCATTAGTAAATTGGAATAAAAGCAAGGTAATTGTTCTATAATATAATAATTGCAACCGCGTATAAGAGGTTTAACACAACATCAAAACTAATCCAATAAAGAGAGAATTCCCAGTAGATCAAGCTCGGAAAAAAATGCAAAAGGGAAAATATGGAAAATTATACAAATAAAAATAAATCTCCTTTTGTTGAAACTCCAATTCGGAACTCATCAGAAGAAAAGCTTCACAAACATATACTATATATATATACAGATACATACATACTTTTGGTGCTGTCATTTACAACAAAAAAGGGAAATGCACAACTACATGTTATAGCAGTCTCGTATAGAAAATTTCAACATTCTGAGGCTACTCGTTTTGAAGTTATGGGAGATACATACATACATACGTAAGTACGTACAGATGTCACGAAAAAAGTGACTTCTGAATCCATTTTTCAATCTGTTTTGGGAAGAAAAGGCCTTTATTATGTCTGGTACGCACAGTTGTCGCGCTAAACATCGTTTAAATGAATTCGAGAGTGGTCAAAATGGATATTTTCTTTGATATTTCGTCGATACCCGAAATTTTTTGCTATTACAATACTTCCTTTAATTAAATACAAGGAGGTAAAATCTACATTACAGACAGCCCAACTGAATACATTCTCTACTTAGGAAAGTCAAGAAAATCATCCTCATGCTTAGACGCATCCTAAGTAGTGGTTATTGCAGCCATTGGCGTAAAGAAAAGGAAAATTACAGAACGTTATAAAACATCCGCTTCCTCATATACGATATTGGTCCTACTGAAACTTTTTTATACTAAACTATAGCTTTGAAACAAAAGTGATTTGTATTTAAATAAAAGGAGAATGTGTTTCAATATTATCAGTAGAATGATCCTACAAAACACGAGATCCGCTTGAATTTTTCAATGACATTTATATGAATAATATATTCTGCAGTCGATACTTATTGCATCACGTAACTGAATTTATTAAAATTTTCTAAGCACTTGCTTTGCGATATATTTCTTGGAATTAATTTTTTTATAAGCGAAAACCCACATGAAGCCGCTTACGGAAAACCGATGAATTTAAATTTTTTGTGTGTTCCACTTTATATGTATTCCCTAATTTAAATTTGCTTGTATCTTACTAAGAAAGCTACAATGTTAAAAAAAAATTTACACCAGAATTGATTCAATTTTTAACCCCCCCTCCTCCCCACTGTTTTTTAAAAATAAGACAGAACTTTTACACTGTATAAATTTCTGTGATTGTTTTCAAGAACTCGAATATTTTGCAGGTCAGTTTCTAAGATTTCTTAAATAACAGGTTTTTTCCCCTCAAATCTTTAATAAAACCATAAATTTCGGAATTTTCCAAACTCTTTCAGAACTTTTAGATTATTATTCATATTTTAATAAATCTAATTACTTTTGGAATAATAATAATCTAAATAATCTAAATAATACTAATTACTTTTGGAATTTATGCAAAAAAATTCTTTAGTTTTATTCTTAAATCCACGTCGGAACTCTAAGTTCCAGCTAAATTTTGTCGAAAGTCTGCAATAACAGAAAAATAGTTCCCTGGAATTACGTAAAGTTGACCTAATGATGTCAAGGATAACTGAAAGGTGTAGGCGAATGTAATATACAAAACGTCATTCAGTAGTATAGTAATTTAACGGTGATGATTTACAGAATTTGATTGGTTTATACATAAATTTAAGTGTTAGATAAAGAAAATATCTGAAAATCGTCATTTTCTGTTTATTTTACTAATTTAATTCAAAATATTTAATATATTATTTATTTAATTATTTTTATTACGAATTTGGAATTTCATTTTTACTTATTTTATATTTGCTAGAAATTTACGAATTTTTTTATAAGACTTGTAGAGATTATTTTAATTTTCTAGTAGTTATTTTTAATTTTGAAACCCTTTCCTTAAATTTCTTGTTTTCCACCTACAACTCCCTGCCAGAATGAGATTTCAGTATCGTGTTTTTTGTAAATGAAGTAGAAACAGTAGTTAATGGGAAGTTTAGTCACTTACAAAGAAGAGCTCTGAAGTTCTCAGTAAAGTGTGTTCTGCCTTCGGCCCACGTCGTTAAGCCTATATTACTACGTTCGGCCGTAGACTTACGTGCCTGTTAGTATTCGCCGGTGAGATTTAATTACTGGCCAACTCGGTTAGTTATTTTTGTACAGCTTCGGCTAAAGTTTAGCTAGTTAGAATTAGTTTAGTTACTTATTTTCTATCTTAAGTTAAAACTTAAGTGGAGGCTTTCCTGTAAGCGCATGAGAGGCCGTCTATTAGCATTTCTTTGAGAAAATGAAAGGGTATTTTATCCCTTCTTTGGCCTTATATTTTATAGTTGCAAGAAGACCAGTGAATAGTCGCTAGACACATTACTAGGATTCTAGTAGCAAAGACACGTAAATTAACTAGAACTTTATAGACTCATGAAATCAGTACATATGTTATTTTCGTACTCATGTTGTTATTATGAAGTGTACGTGTCTTTTACGACCTCAAGCGATTAAATTGGATAATTGTATAGAACAAAAGTGTGAAGAACCACAAAAACAATTAGTTTTAAAAGATGTCTATTGTGTATTTTCAGTAAATGAAAAATTTAAGGTTTTTCAATTACTGAAAATACACAATAGACATTTTTTGTTGCTTTATATTGATAATTTTGTTGATTATTATAGTAACATTATTTTAGATACTTAATTGGCTTTTTCCAACCATTCAAGTATCAACCATTCAAGTATTCAGTAGTATTGCTCTGCAATTAAATAGGGAGCGTTAAATATCGCCTTGTTTCTTTCCTTTAAGTCTTCTCAAATGCCTTTAGATAATTTTTGGTTTATTCGTAAAGCTGATGTTAGCAATTCTAACCAAATAAAGAAAGCGAATGCTATATAAACGGAAGGGTCGGCGCTAGGCTTTTTACTGCCAAGTGCAAACTCCGCAACTCTGAATCCTGCCTCCTGGCTTCTTACTAAATTGTAAATGCCCTGAACGATTGTACTGATTGCACCGACTTTTGCAACGGCCGTGCAAAATCAGAAAACTGAAAGTGATCTAAAAGTGTTGAGCATTTCCGAATATTGCAAAATGAAATTCTAGTAGCCTCATTATTTGGCAGGAATGTAGGTGAAAGGAATGCCGGATTATACCTAGTGCCAAACCGTTAGTTGCTGGATTATCATGCTATTATGTTCCGGCAGTATATTAAATTTCATTTGCAAATAATGATATATGCAAAGGTCGATCAAAGATTAACGCATGATTTACTGTAGCTTCGTAATGATGAATATTAGAAAAATGAAATTTTTTAGGTTGAAACATTAGTTTTTTTACTCATTTAAAAATGTTGCTTGTTTTATAATCAATCTGGTTTACTGAACTCCAGCCATCTTTGTCTCCATGACACGAACTCGCGTTCGTATAATTTTTCTTGAATTTGATCAATACAACTTGATGTTTCACCACACGTGATGTGTCCATTTTGGGTAACAATCCCTAGTTAAACGTTGCAGAAGGTATGATATACGTTCTTCTTGATTTACATCATATCACATGCCAATGGTTGTGGAAACCAAGAGGCGAAAATGTTTCTGTGTTCCAGACGTTGGTTTAGCGTTGACACGTGCTTTTGCTATACTTGTGTACTCTATAATCTGTCTCTTGGTGATGCTTCTGTCATTTTGAACGAGTTCTTCAATTCGTTTTTATCTGTTGTGGCGGGTGACTGTCTAGCTGATGGTGGCCAGTCGTTGGTATTGCAGTCACCACGCCGAAACTCTGAAGCCATCGACACACTTCATTTCGAGTCGTTGTGTTGAAATCATACACTGGCAAACGCTTACTATAAATCGATATTCCAAAGTTATACCCAGATTTGTGAAGTATTCGACCACTGCACATCAGCATAGTAAGATGCCACGATGATCATCTTTGGCGACTTACCTGTAACACCTGGAAATAAAAGTTAAAGTATATGTTAGGTGTTAAAGGATAAAGGCTTCTACCTACATCTTTCATCTGTATATTGTTTAGCATTACTGCATAAATGACCTTTGTATAATCACCATAGCTATATACTGAATTCAGTATACATTTCTTAATTTTAAGCAAAATGTTAAAAGAAAAACGAAAACCGTTTTTACTGTTAAATTCTCAGCTAAATTAACGAAACTCGATAATATTAATATGTATATTATCCTCCTGCGTTGTAAATGGCTCCCATCTAATGGCAGCTCAAAATTTAAATAAAGGACCCCCAGGTATATAAATAGCTTTGTGTATAAATACTGCTTGTGCAGCTATTTTCCCTCTTCGCCACACATCAATTACTGCTTTGTTTTAATTCTTAGCCTAAATAGAAGTAATCTGTACAGAATTGTGGGTTGTATACGCAGCTGTAATGATGATGTATGAAGCTAGTTGTGCTTTCTTTATTCCGAAATAAAATTATGATGAATTCAATAGCAACGTCTGAAAGTTTTTCTTCTTCGTCATATCATCTTACGTATCAATGCAGCTGCTTTTCTAATAGCAAGATATCTACATAATTTATATCTACATAATTTATATCTACATAATTTATATTACGCTCACGCATATATATATATATGTTTTTATATTTTTAAGGTGTGCTCTAAAGAAGGGGAATGGAAAACGTGGTACGAATCTGAATTTCCTGAAGCATCTCCTTTTCCTTGCGGTTACGATAAAAAATTGAATCCTTTCGGAGTTCTGCTCATGATCCGGACATGGTGCCCAGACCGAACTCTTTCTCAGGCAAAGAAATTCATAGCTGGTATACATTATTTACATGAAGTTAATTAAAAATGTTATGAAACGTATTTTAATTACAGAAAGTGAGTTCTTCATAAGCAGTCTTCATTCTGATCTTCTGCGTGTAAAACTCAATTTTTTTCTCTCCTTTTTTGTTTTGTAAATCGAAATATAAGATTATGCCCTACAAACCACGAAACTGGAAATAATATTTTAATATTGAACATTTTTTGTTTTTCTGTCATTTTAAATACAGGGGAAACGGGTTTGAATAAAGATTTTTATTAAAAAATGGTTTACGGTTTTTTAATTATCATCTAAGAAGTTTAATGATATGTCATTTGTGTCCAAAACCTGCATTCATGAAAGATGTTTGATAACACGACAAAAAGGTCAAAAACTTTGAAATAAACATATGTTTTCCCTAAAAATTTATCTTTTATATAAAACATATCATTTCTCAATAACAAATTTTCATGACAAATTTTTATTTCGAAATGTAATTTTTTATGTGAGTATTTATTTTGTTGTGAAATAATCTCTGTTCTTAACATTACTTTAACTTCTATTCCCATGATATCTAACATCAATGAAATGTGATAAATTCTAATATACCGTTTTTATAAGAATGTAAAAAACTTATTATTTTCCTGCATACGATAATAAATACTTTATTTATTCATACAATTTTCTTTCCTCATTTATAGGATATATTAATTACGTTTAACATGTAATTCTATGCTGCTAGTTTCTATTTATTCGTTTTTTTGTTCTAAAATGCTCATGAATACAAAATTTCAGGTCAATTTTAAATAAAACTGAAGGCTGAAATGGAAATTTATTAAAATTGATTAGATGTTAAAGTAAGGCAAAAGTTCAGAATTGGTTATTTTAATAAATTATTAACTAACAATGTCAAGAGAATTTTTTAAATTGCGCTTTTCTTCAATAAAAAAACTCTTGCCATAAAATGGTAACAGTATCCGAAAAAACATAATTTATACACATAACTTCGTAAACTTGCATAATTTTACTGTTAAGTAAATTTCATATAATTTCTAAGCAAGAAAGCTAAGGAAATTTTCAGCATTTCGAATTTTTAGGTTATTTACACATTTTCCTTTCTTGGTCAAGATATTTTAGTCGTATTCACCGTTTAATTTTATACTGGTCTCCTTAATTAACGTTTGACTGCATAAATCAAGTAAAACCTTTTGATAAAATGTTTCCTTAAAATACCAAAAAAACAACATTTGCCCATTACTTTATTTTGTGTTATTAAATAAGTTTTCATACCAAATATTTTGTAGTTTCGCTGTCTGAAAAAAATTTATTAAACATTTCACTATGATTTATTAAATGACTATTGAAAAAAAATCCCCTTTGTAGTGTTATTGTTTTCAAACATCAGCACAAATGGTTGCTTATATCGAATAATACATCAAAATGTTACTAGAATAATGATAAATTGGCGGAGAGGACTTCGTCATTTTAAATAAAACTATTTACTTTTTGTATGATAAATTATTTCACATTTCATTGCATTTTAAGGAGCACGAGAAAGTTAACAGAAAATTTATTCTTTAATGTTAATTCTGTGTTGTCTAATATCATTCATGACTAAATTAAACATCGCAGCTTTCACTTTGTTTCCAGAAACCTTAGGTTCTAGATTTATAGAAGGCGTTCTTCTCGATTTAGAAGATCTATGGAGAGAATCTGATAATAAAACTCCTCTCATTTGTCTGCTATCTACTAGTGGTGATCCCAGCTTGCAAATAGAAATATTGGCACGGAAAAAGGGATTAGGTAAAAATGTGTTCCTTATTCTAAATTTTAGGATAGAATTTATTGCAAATGGAACTTTAAAGTTACGGTTGTTTTAACACTTTGCAAGGTTAAACTTAATTGCATCTTAAATTATATATTGTTCAACCTGTACTACTAAAGGTGTTTTGTCTTCACGTTTAAATCTGAAGTGCAGCACTCTGAAAAACACTTACTTATTGTCAGAGGTGAAACTAAGCTAAACTTTTACGTTGTTTCTTGAGAGGTTTAGGAAATTTAAAAGCTTAAATATTATAACAAAATAAAGAGATTTAATAACAACTCTACCCGAATAAAATGTATCGTGACTTCTAACTAAAGATTAGCAATGAACCAAAACAGCAGAAAACATTCGCTGAACGCATCCAGGACAACAGCTGGGTAATTCTAAAGGGAAACAGTCTACAAGTTTTTTCCTGAATTGCATTTAAATATCACCTAATTTACATTATGGTGAGCGGTTCGGAAGAAACACAAACTACAGGGATAATACCAACCCAAAACTACACAACAGAGCACATTTGGGATGCCATGGAGCGGAAGCTTAGAGCTCACACACCACCATGTTGGAATACCTCCACTTTTCGAGACCACTGCCCTTATATATTTGGTACAAGTCTCAAGTCATCTACCGAAACCTTGTGGCATCTATGCCAAGGCGAGTTGTAGCTGTTTGGGAGACTAAAGGTTGAGCAACGCGTTATTGAGTAATTGATCATAATGTTTTTCCTCTTCAGTGTATATGAATGATATCGTAACTGTAAAGCCAATCGGCCTACAAGCGAAGATAGAAAATGCTTATTAGGCTTCGTGGCTATTTCGCTATTAGTAGATTAAATTTTAGCGTTTAGTTTTACTCTATTTTCACTCAATCATTTTTTACTCAATAGATTTTTTTTTCCTTTTAATGCGTTGACTGCCAACTCCTAATTTGTACTCATAGTTGCAACTCGTGACAACTGGTACTTTACATTCTTTGTCTAGGAAGGCAGCCCCTACGAAATAAATCGTAGTGCTTTTATCTTTCATTCTCATGTAACTACATTTTATATTTATATTCGTAGAATTTTAAAAAAGATGGCTTCTAGCAAAGCTCTAATTCATAAATTCAAGACTAGCTTAAACTAACTGAAAAATTATTAATTAATAAACAGGAAATATGATTATGAAACAATTTATTAATGTCAGTATTATTACTTATTCAAAGTGAAATTCAAGAAGCAAAAAAATAATTTTAATGATATTTTCCTAGGTTCAAATTTGATATGATTTTGTCGAATTCTGTTTTTGTTTCTCGGTAGATAGAATAGTGTGTAAATATTCATCTGACTGTCTTTGAACCCGGGTTCCTGAAATGTGCAGTGGCAGTCAACGTATTATTCACATTTACTGCAATATGAAATTTTTAAAAAATGATGACATCAAAACGACAATTTTATTTGATATCTTTTACTTAATGTCTGCTCTATGATATGTGAACTTAATCGCAAAGGCTCGTCATAATATTTATTTGTGTCTTTCAAAGAATTTGGATCTGTGTCTATGGGTCAAGGGCAGGAGGTTCACGCTCGTCGAATTTTGACCAAGATGATCAACAATGGTGGATGGGTTATGCTGCAGAATTGTCACCTGAGCCTAGATTTTTGCCAAGAGATTCTCGAGACTCTAACCGAGCAGGACGACACCCACATAGATTTTCGATTATGGATTACTACTGAAGTGCATCCTAGTTTCCCAATCAGTCTCCTCCAGGTCTGTGCTTCTTTTCTCTCTTTGTAAAACTAAGTATGAAATGCTCAGTGTTTATAAAGATAATATTAATAATTGTGCTTCAAACATCTATTATTGAAGAATTAGCAGTATAATAAAGTTCGCAAAACACAAGTGGAGAATGATGTATAATGTATCTACCGATTTGAATTTAAACAATATCAGAATGCACGTCTGCTTGTGTAACATACTTTCATCTGTAGAGGGCTAGCAGTCGGGTAATTAATGTAACTCCGCACTCTTAGTCGATGAGGTTGAGGATTTCAGTGATGAGAGCCTTAATTTAACCATGTACGTTCACAGACGCGCATTGCAGATATTGTAGCAGAATGTTGACGATTATCACAATTTTACGGACAAGAGAGTTGGGACATACAATATGGTATGGTTCCAACAGGGTGGCGAAACGGTAAGCACAAGAATTGCTGTATTTCCACAAACATCTCCAAAATCATCCGAATTCTCGCTTTTGTCGATTTGGTTTGACCACACCATTCCCTAGATTTGATAGTTCTGGATTTTTAACTCTGGGATACTTGGAGAAGATATTCTTTGCATATCGTTTCCGAACGATTGGTGAACTGAAGGCTGCACTTTCGGCCGTGAATTACAAGCAATTTTACAGGAAGTGTTGAGCCGTGTCACGGAGCTTTCCCGCATGCAAACAGAAGAATGAAATATAGAGGACAGTATTTTCAAGATTCATTGATGACTGCATTTCCCGCATTTATATATATACAGAAATTAAATGCAAAAGCATTAAATTAATGAAGTGCATTTAATACAAAGGCATTAAATGCCTACATATATATATTATTTCACAACCACAGGAAATTACTTATTATTATTCAAAATTCATAGATACAACATGTGCCACAGTATATAAGAAACAGTCTAGGATGTCATATGTAGATGGGTTGCAAAGCTATGCGAATTACAATTCGTGGTTTCGGTGGTTCTATGAACTGATTAATAACTTAAAAACGGATGAACAGTGAATTCCAAACCCATGAGCTCTATGCCAAGACTAAGTGATACGAGCAACTCGGATCACTGTACATTCCCATAGCATAGGGCATTTATACAAAACAGAAACACTAGTCCCTGTAACTAACACCCACTTAACATATTTCTGAAATCACCAAAAACAAATCCCAATAAGGAAATTGTCTTTTATCATTTTGCGTATAGTTATAATTTAAAGTATATTATTTTAGTTAATACCTATTTCAGCTTTTTTACTACTACTTTCTGATTTACGTAAAAAGTATCTTATGAATTATCTGTGTTATATGTGTAATAGGTACGTTCAATAGCCAAACCCAAGTAATGTTTATCAAGTTAAAGAATTAAATACCAAAATAATTTTTCAATTTATTATTGTAACCTTGCCTGGTAAAATTAACATAACTGGGTATGATTTCAACTTAAACAATAGTTTTAGTGTTACATCACAAAGTTAGCTTAATGTTTCTGCAAGACGCCATTAATGTCGATGGAGGCTGCTCTGTAAATCATAGAGTACTCTGATTAATAATCAAATATAATAAATAGCCTTCCAACCAATAAAAAAAGGCGGACGTGAGGAAAGCACGTTTCATCCGGTAAATCACCTAGTACTTCGAGATATCAAGTGTCACTCAACAGGGCACTCCCTAGACCCCTGGAAAGATCTTTTCTTAGATTGTTAGTATAGAGGAAATATACAGTACAACTCCAATTATCCGAACTCCTACCATCCGAATCGCTTATTATCATAAGAAAAAAATTAAGACAGAGACGTAGTGCATTTCGCAATATAAGGATTCTGTGTACGTGCGCTACGGTCTACCTTCCGCGAAGCTACTGTAAGCCCAGCGCGAACATTATTGGGATGATGAGTCACCGTCTCATAGTGCAGTTCTGTTATTGGCTACAGTACTGTCGCCAGGTGGCAGCCCTGCCCAGCTGTTTTTGTTCCTTTTGATTATTAGTCAGTTAGTGTGTCGTTGACCTGCTTACCTGTGACGGTACTCTTTCGCGTCGGTGCGTTGTTCTGTTTCTGAGTGTGTTTTCTACTTCCCCACAACTTCTAAAAGACGACGTGTTGTGTTATTTTTAACGGATAAACTAAAAATTATAGAACAATCAGATAAAAAAAAGTGACGGGTAAACAGTTGTCTGAGACGTACGGTGTTGGATAGTCAACGATTTCAGACATTAAAAAGAGCAAACCTATACTTTTAAACTTCGTGTCACTGCTTGAAAACTAAGATGGCAGTTCTTCAAGAAAATCAATCAAGACAGCAGCAAACAAAAATTTAGAAGATGTCGTTTTCAAGTGTTTTTGAAGCAACGTTCCAAATCTAGATAACATTTAGACATTTTAACTTAAAATTGTAGCAGACTACTACGACCCTGAGTTTTTGTACAACGCCGATGAAACCAGTCTTATTTGGATAGCTCTGCCTAAAACCACTTTAACACCCAAAAGGAAGTGTAGGGCTTCAGAACATAAAGTTGGTAAAGATCGGGATGCTTACTATACAGGAAGCCATAAAATACCCCTTCTGTCGATAGGGAAGTCAAAAAGGCCCAAGAACATTTAAAAATGTGAAAAAGCTCCCTCTGTTTTATAGACTCCAACCCAAGACCTTGGATGACTGCAGCATCGTTTACCTTGTGGTACTACCGAAATTTTCCTCCCTGGAGTAAAAAAGAGCCAAACGTTTCTTGAAAACGAAGGCAGTAAAGTGCTTTTGATTGTTTATAATGCACCAACTCACCCCACCGGAGAATTGTTGGAAAGAGGGAATAGTCAGTATACAACAACCTCTTTAAAGCCAAACGTCACAAGCTTGTTGCAACCAATGGACTAGTCTGTTATCGAAACCATGAACCGCCATCACAGATGGCAAATTTTAAGGAAACGTTTGGTAGAGAGCGAAGACGAAAAAGGTGTTTTGGTTAACCATAAAAAAATTAATTTGAAAGATTTTGTGCTTACTTGGTCGCAGAAGCTTGGAGCTTGGTTAAGGCAGTCACGTTAAGACGTGCGGAGCATTGTTGAATGGCATATAAATTGAAGAAGAGAGGGAAAAGGAAAAAGAAGCTCAAGAAGACGAAAGATGAAAGACAGAAGAAGATGAGGATGACCTGTCGCTTCAGGAATTAAGAAACATTCTTTTGAAAATTCCTGAATGTTCAGAGGTTAGTGCTGAGGATACATCAGAATGGATGGTGTGTGATTCGTCAGACCCTGGTTTTCAAATTCTAAATGATGATGGACTTATTGAAAGGGTGAGAGAACAAAATTTCGAGGAAGAAGATGACCGTAATGTCGAAGTTGAAGCAGACACGGGACCCTCAGCTAGTGAAGGGTTTGCCGGCCTTCAGAAGGATAGAGCGTCACTCAAGTGTGACCACATGCAACTTCTGTCAAGCAGACGCGCGACTTGGCTGACTGAAAACGGATGAAGACAGTCAAACAGCTTACTTTGACCGAGATGTTCAGCAAGCAATGACTTTCAGCACTTGTAAGTATTGTACAGTGCGCTATATAACATTTATGTAAAAGTGTGGCCTTTTCATTTTAAATCCTATAATTTCACCTGTCCACTGCAGTAAAGCGTTTGTACCACGGAGTCTAACGACTTTACATTCCGTAGTTTGTACAGCAAATGACACCTTATGTGATCATGGTTAAAATTCTCATTCAGATTTCATTATAGATTTGTTGAAATACCACCCGTTTGTACGGAGAAACATGAAAAAAACGTAGCTTATTATGATCAATAATTCTGTTAATAATGTGAAATGTTATAGAAAATTTTTTTTAAACTGAAGTAACTTCGTCAAATAAAAGATAAAGTTACCAAATAAAGTCAAAATAAATCTTAAAAATTGCCAAGTGGCATAGAAATGTCGCCAAATAATGGATTACATCTGCAGATTCATTTGGATTTTAGTCAATATTTTAAATTTTGGCTCAAAAAACAATTTTACTTAACTGTATATTTTAAATATTTCTATCTGTTCTAAGGGCAATTAGTCGTAAATGATTTCTGATGTTACAGACAGTGTTGGTCCTGGCACTCTCGCAGGGAAGTTTGATTTCACACGTGGTCATAGATGTAGTAAGACGGGTGATTATACGGAACACAGAGTTAACGGAACACAGAGTTACCGTCAAGAAGGGTATAGGAAACCACGTATTTTCTTTAAAAAAGATTAATTTAATTCTACAATGATATTGCTAATACTCAAATAGTCAAATACGTTCTTCTCGATCATCTGGGCTCTCAATAATTGAATGTTTTTTCTGCACGCCTTGACACATGGACTGAAATTCGAAAATTGCAGATCGTTCCTTAGCCTTCAGCTTAACGCTTTTGACTGGAACTCTAAGACTGCAGATCGTTCCTTAGCATTCAGCCTAACGCTTTACGTTTACGCTTTAGGCCCGTACCATTGACAAATAATCGCACGTAACATATTCGCGAATGGATGAATTGCGGTGTGTTGATATTGGATCAAATATTATAGATTATAGTCAAATAATTGAATCTGCATAAATGTATTTATGTTTCCCTCATTGTGATAAAACAACGGTACCTAGAGCCATCAAACTTTAAATGACGTAATCCTACTGCGAGTATGGACATGTGGAAGCCCAAATTTGAAATTTGGTATTTGTTTTATCATCGATTTCATATTTTGTAAAACTTTAACGAATTTCTGATTAACAAACTCAAGGATTTCAAAGCGAGCAATGCCAACGTTGCACAGAAAAATCTTTTTATCTCCAGCGCGTGAGACTGCGTAGCAGAAATTCTAAAGATATGCTCAATTTAAAATTATTTTGCGATATTGCTGTTAAATTGAATTTTATGTGTTTTAAATGCGAACATATTTAATAAATAAAAGTAACACACAAAATCTTTAAAAAATGCCCCTTTGAACGAAATTTAAAATCTGAAATCTTTTAGATTTCCTTTTTTTACTTGTATTTAAACTTTCTTTTAAATCTTCCCATTTAAAAAAAATGTATTTTAACTCTTATGATAAATCTTTTGAAGTGTTAGATTAAAATCTGAAGTTTTCATATTGCTTTACTTTTAGCTATTACACTGATGACTATTAATCATTACATCTATAGGATTAAATCAAATTGTCAAGCAGAATAAATGGTATGGAGGTTTCTTGAGCCCTCATCTCCAGTCTCTGAGTTTCAATTAATTTTTTTGCGTTAACACGTTCTTTTCTCCATATGCACCGGAAGGCAGAAAACAGAATTTCTCAAGGACAAATATATCAATCACATTCTTGATATTTGTTTTTAAAGATATCTGGCCGTTCTGTTTCATGATTGATGTTTTTTCCAATGATTTCCGGGAGCTCTTTTTCTGTCACCATTTTTCAGACCATTACACATGATCCGTGTTGCTCTAACGACATAATTCTAGGTGGTAAAAATATCACAATCATGTCAGTGAAAATGAAACTTGATAGTATATATCGGCGACATATCAACGACACTTCAATAAAAACTAAATTTATCTCGTTTTCGTTAAAAAACTAAAAAATTAAAATTAAAATAATAATAATATCTGTTCTACTGGAAAGTTTTGTCCGTTTTTGGAATAAAAGAAAATACAAATTTTTCTAACCATCAATAAACTTCATTAAATGATATAATTGCCATTATTATTAATTACTTCTTGCCAGCGTATGGGCAATTTGTCTATCCCATTTTTGAAAAATGTTGTATCTTTTGATGCGAAAAATTGAACCAGTGCTTGTTTGATATCTTCTTAATTTTAAAATTTTTTGGCCCTTCAAAAAATTTTGTAAAGACAAATACAAGTGATAGTCGGAGGATGCTAAGTCCGGGGAACATGATGGATGCGACAGCCTAGTCACAGCCTAGTTCTGTAATTTTTTTACCATTCCCCAAGGCAGCATGTGGCCTAACATTATCATGATGCAGTATGATGTCTTTCCTATTGAACATCGTCGGACTCTTTTCTTGCACTGCTCTCTTTAAATTATTCAGTTGTTAACAATACTTCTCCGAATTGAGCTATCCGTTCGGTATTAAAAGCTTAAAGCAGAGTTGTGCATATGACATCTCGATCATCCAAATTCTTCTGACTTAATTCATGTGGTACCCATCTTGAATATTTCCCCACATATCCTATCTTCCGAATATGGTCCGAAATGGTTTGCCGAGCTGAATTAAGCCTTTCTGCGATCCCCGATGTTGTCAGAAAAGGATCTTGCTCCAACATGGTCTTAACAACATCGTCGCCGATCAAAGAAGGTTGCCCAACACGGGGCTAATCAGAAAGGTCGACATCACTGTTTCAAATTTTTCGAACCATCTTCTTACTGTACCTTCACCAAACACTTTCAATAAATTTCTATATTCTTCTGTAGCATTTCTTCCTTGTTGAAATTCGTATAAATACAGTAGCGTAAATCAATGTTATCAGTAGCCATGGATACTCTATCGCTTCACACTTTGGACTAATGTCAATCTACTTTGTTTTAGTTAATTTGCTATGTCAGTATGTGTACATTCCGGTAGACCGAATAATAACTATATGATAATTGTGCTTCCAGTGACGATAAAATATTTAGGTCTTCTACGTAATAAATAATCAGAGAGTTTACTTTCTATCTTTAATGTTTTTAATCGATTTACTTCCTTATAAGAAAATGTAGCAGTTCTTTAGCAATATTTGTATAACAACAACTGAGTATTCCTTTGTTTGTTTACTTTAAAAGGAACTAAGCAGGTGTTTGCGTTACTTCCATCGTTTGCATACGATAGAGCTTTATGCCCGTTTCCTTCAAATTCTAAATTTCATGCAGAAACATAAGATTTGTTTTTCTTCAGGAGTGTTTCATTCGGAGCTTTTAGCCCAGAAAGTAAGAAGTGAGAATATTCTTTTCTTGAACTTTTGAGTTTGTATAGACCTAGTTTCAAAACTCGTAGACGCAATCTGCATTTTTACTACTTTGAATGAAATTATATATTAATGAGATAATTAGTTACATAAGTCTGAAATGCTACTGATCCAGTGTATAATTTTACAGTGCCTTCGCGCTACATTTCGAAAAACGTTCACAAAATTTATTTACAATTGATAAATATGTAACTGAATCAAAGAACTTTCTCACGCACATGTTGGTCACATATTGCGCTATTCTGAAAATACATTTCTTGGCTGTCTTCGTAAAGGTACTTGACAATTTTTTTGATTTGCATTCTTTCCTTCAGCCAGGGGTCCACCAGCGGCCAAACAGTAAAGTCGCTTAAGATTGGTAGTTCGGCCGGGAGTTGGAATCTAAGAAAATGGACTGGCTCCATGGGCGTTTTCGTGTTTTTCTCCTTGTATAACGTGTATACGAGCCAATTTCCCTTAGAAAGTCCTCGAGAAGGCATCCCTCCTCTTAGGCAACAGCTATCAAAGTGCCACTTCGCATGGTCAAATAAACCAAACCAAACCAAACCAAATTTCATTCATCCAGATAGATAAAACATGCTTTGACTTAAACAGTTAATCAAGCAAAGAACCAAATTGGCAAAAGAATGTTTATCATAATGTATAGTCAGTGCCTTAATTATTCCAAGCAGGTAGCTGATATTTCATAAGGAAAAAATATTTTCAGAAATACAAAACTCTAGCGACCTAGCCAAGAGTACTGCTGATGATTAACATCATCTTCAAAGGTTTGACAACATTCAGATAACAAATAACACTCAAATTCAGGGGTGAAACGGTAGCCAATTCAATCTTCAGTTGCAAAAGCTACTATGAAAAAAAAAACGGGCAAAAGGCCCCTCCGAGCTCGTCTTAACTAAGCAAAACGCCAATTCTTATAGCTGGGCCTACGAAGTTAAGTGCATGATTCCGCATGATTCCGTAAGTTATAGCAACACCTTAGGCAACCTTGCAATATATTGTCTGGTATAACTGTGTTACAAGTTGAGAATAGCTGCATTTGAATAGTAATTATCATATTTATTTAAAATATTAAATGTTTGTAACAACTTCTATATTCATGCATTCAATTAAATTCTTTAATAATTTATTTCCCAGATTTCTATTAAATTTACTAATGAACCACCTCAAGGCATCAAGGCTAGTGTGAAGAGGACTTACGCCAGTCTACCTGAGGATATACTTGAGTATAGTAACGCTACACAGTGGCAACCTCTGCTCTTCGGAATTGCTTTTCTCAACACCATAGTTCAAGAGAGGCGAAGATTTGGTCCTTTAGGATGGAACATACCATATGAATTCAATCAGGCAGACTTTATCGCTTCCATGAAGTTTCTGCAGAAGCACTTGGATGATATGGATATGAAGAAGGCAAGCATTCCTTAGTTATTCGTATTTAAGATAATAATTGTTTTATAAACTATGTACTTTTAGTGTTAAGAGTTTAGATGCTAAACAACTACGGCGATTTCTGTCACATTTTGTTTTACTTTATTTTCGTCTACTGAAGAAATATTTCAAACCAAAACATAAATTATTTTTTGTTAAGCTTCTGAATAGGCATTTCTCTATATTATTTCTGTTTCTCTTAGCAAGTGCTCAAGTGTCATCAAATAACAAGTATTAAAATTTTAATTGCTTTGAAAACAGTTAATAAATTAAATAAATTTCTCAAGAAACTGATATCTGAGGCTCAGTTTACTTTCTTATCAATATAATATGTAATCTGTTTTGGAATTTTATCAGCTGCATTTTAAATGCTTACAGTTATGTCCTTGACGTCCCCCAGAAACATTCAAGTTCTTAAACGTACCAGAGAAAATTCACTTTCACAATTATGCTTTCAGATGTACAAGAAAGTAAAGTATACACTTGACGTGATATGTCCAGCTATAACAAAGCTTAATTTTCAGTCTCTTCCTAGATACTACTGGCATATCGCCCTTCCAGTAGCCGAGTGATTTAAGACATCGGAGTGCTGGGAATTCGAAACTAGTTCGATCGCAAGCTAACGGGCTAGCTGCGTGGTGGGTTTTCTTGGTTTTCCCATTGTAACATGAATAAATTCAGAATCACTTAGAAAGTTATCTATGAAGGTATCTCTCCACTAGGCAAATAGCCCTGGTACGTTTGCCGTACTGAAATAACCTAGCCAATGTTTGAGATGATTTTCACACAGATAACTCATGTTTAAGAAAAACTGCAAATTTTATGCGTTACAATGATATTTTTAAGCTACTCGAAGATGACTTTTTCCGAGAATTTTCCTCTGGATTTGACATCCGGAAAAAAATGAAAAGTTCTGCTATTAGAACGAAATGTTTTTTGCAGGCTAGATGTTTAAGATGCTTTCGTGGTGTAACTACAAGCATATTCGAAGCGTATTCAACAGGTCCAGGGCTCGAATCCCGTCGAGGGCAAAGCACTTTTTCACGTCTGTTGCTTCAAAACAATTTAATGAGTCTACAATGCGCATAGTTACAGCTTCAATAATTAATTCGTTTCCTTTTTAGAAAGAAAAGATCTCACGTGGCGTACATTTTTATGAGGAAATAATGAATGCCCCCCCCCCAACACCGTCTATTTTAAGAGCTAATTTTAACTGTATAATATAATTTTCTATAATGTGTATACCTCTATTCAAAAATAGTTTTTTTTAGCTTTGTAAGGATTTCTTGAACTAATACCTCAAGAACGTTCATGAGTAGAATTAGCATGATGAGCGCCAACAGTTTATTTTACAATAACACAAAGAGGAATTTTGATACTACTGTGATTATGAACGTATTTGTTTGCATAATCAAGAATAGTGTTTAGTAGTAAGTTAGAAGGAAGGTTTCAAGGAATTTAGGATCTCAACTGTTATTCTTCTACAGAGCTTATATGATTTCAACTTTACATTTAATTACCTTAATAATTATTCTTCAAATTTTTAGGTATTAATTTTATTAGCCAAAGTGGGGTTATTAATTTTGAAAGGAGATTTTTGTGTTGGTTCACTATAAATAGCGTATCACTTTCAAACAGTTGCCACCAAATATTTTTCAAACAGTTGCCACCCGCATTATTCTTAAAGGAATTAAATAATAAATAATCTGCATGTATGTAGGCATGCTTGCACCTTGCATTGCGAAAAAACGACGGTACCTAGAGCCATCAAATTTTGAAGAACGTAGTCCGCCGCCCGAACATATGTACCTGGAATTTCGAATTTGTTTTATTATTTATTTCATAAATTAATGAATTTTTGATTAACATCATCGATGATTTGAATGTCAGCAGTGGCAACACTAATCGAAAGGAAATATTTCTATCTCCGGTGCGAGAAATTGTTGCTTGGAAAAATATAAAATATTTATCTTTCAGCTTTAGTTAACAAACTCGGCTGTATGAAAGCAACGTGTTGCCGCTGCCCGAAATAAAATGCTTTTACCTTCCTTGCACCTTCGAGCGTTTTGCCACACAGTTAAGCCTAAGATACTTTCAATTTCAATTTGGAATGTTACTCAGTAATAAACTAAGCGATTTAAAAGCAACAAACTCAGTTCTTTTTTACTTTTTAATGTGGTTGATTTAAACAAACCTCTATTAAAATCACGAGATATCTAATTAGAAATACTCAAAATTATACTAGCTGGACTCAAATAAAATCATTATTACTTTTTCTCTTTTGTAATAGTTAGTTTAGCCACTCGCCGCTCGCGCTGGAGCGCGAGTGGCTAGTTTTTTAAACAATAATATATTGAATATAAAAATATATGCGGTAACTTCTAATACTCTATCGGAAATCCTGAAGATATGCTGCTTTTAAAAATATTTTGTTATTTTTCTGTTACTTTCCTTTATTTATTGAATTGAATTTTATGTGACGTGAGGGCGAAGAAGTGATGCTTAATAAATAAGTTAACACAAACACATAAAATTTAATAAAAAGACAGAAATTTTTTTAGACATCTAGCATCTAACATAAAACTGATTATTAATATAATAAACTGAGAAGAGTCTGAAAAAAATATAAGAATGTATGCTAGCACTTAACACAGTATCGGAAATTCTAAATTAAAAAAATTTGTGATTTTGTTGTTGTAATTGAACTGTATGTGGCTGAAGTGAGAAAAAGGTTATGCTTAATAATAAAGCTAAAATGACAAAAAAAAAAAAAAAAAAAAAGTTTAGCAGGCGTGATTGCAAGAGCTGACTGGTAGACTTGCGAGCTCAGCGAGAACGTAAAAAACCTTAACAAGCCCCTTCGGTCGGCCATTAAAATCTAAAACCTTTCAGGCTTTTTTTTTTTTTTTTTTTTTTTTCTGGCGTTTTTCTTATAAGGTTTTATCGTATAGACTTTTAGTCATGCAAGTTTCTAAATGACCACTGGTCATTTCTTTTCTACTCTGTTACAATAGGTGAAGAATAATTTGCGGTTTCCTTTTCTCCCTATCCGCACTGTGTAGAGGAAGCGACTGAAGTGCAGTTGCTTCATTAATTTACCTGTTTCCTTTTCTGTTGATAGAAATTGGGGGCATATTACACTGTGATCTGCTCGAGGTTTGCCTACATGGCCTGTAATCAGGGATCAGTAAAGAAAATAGTATCACCATTATTATAATGGACAAGAATAATCGATAGGGGTTGTTGAGAAATAAATTTGTTGGGGGAAGAATTTTTTGGAATTTTAATATTTAATAGAAATTATGTAATTTAAACTTTGATTGTAACTGTAGTTGAGAAATCCAAATTTTCGCTTTCGAGATGTGGTTCCCGGGAAAAAGTTCACGATTTTTTCGTTTGTAATAACAAATAAAATACAATTTAGAAAAAGGTTTTTGTATATAAACTTTTATTTAAAACGGATATAAAAATTAATGCACTAAAAAGAGAAAACTAACTTATCATATAGTCTAATGGGAAAAGGGGATTAAATAATTTTGGTTCCAGAATTCATCTACAATTTAATATCACGAATAACAAAAAGCGCGGTGAGTCAGTCCATGATAAATTAAGATAAATTTTGTTTTATGTATTTTACAATGCAATCAAATTAACAGAAAATTTAAAGAGATAATGGATTAATAATTTTGCAGTGCAATTAAATTATGAGTTTTCATTGTTGAATACTCACGACATAAAACTGTAGAGGAATTCGGTATAAAAAGTATTTATTTTATTATTCCCATTTAAGGATATGATAAATTATTTTTCTCATTTTAGAGCATCGAATATCTTATTCATTTTAAATAAAATCTTTTGGTATAAAAAAAACTTTATTTAATTGAATTTTATGTTTCGTTTTTCAGTCTCAGCTACATGTTATCAACGATGGAATTATTTAGTCATTATTAAAACACAAGCAATGAATTGCAAGAAAATTATGAATTAAAGAATTATAACTAAGCGTTCTGAACGTTCGTTTTGAATCATCGCTTTGAATACTCAGTTCCGAAAATTTTATGTAATAACCTTGTTATGAAGAGTAACGACATGACGGGAAACTTCGTTATCAAGTGCACCAAGATGGCGAATCAAAAGCAATTTTCTCTCGAAAAAAGTTTTTCTCTCTTTTTTGCTTCAGACTGCAAGCCATTTTTTAACAAATGTAGAACATCACTCAATTAATATTATTTATCAGTCTTGTTTTAAAAGTTTGAATTTTAAAATTTTTGTTTCAAAAGTCGAAAAGTTTGTTTTACAACCTGTGAAAATTCCAAAGCTTTATATCAGATACATTTTTAAATGTTGAAATTTTAAAATCACAAACGTCACAAAGTCTAAAAAATCGAGCGATTTTCGAAAATTAACCAGAAATTCAGAAATTAAATTACAATTACATAGTTTTATTGAAAATATTTTTTTCGCAGTATTCGATTACGCAAATAGTATAATTCTGGTATGTTTAGTTTGAACTTTAAATAAAAATACGTGCGAAAACTCGTTTCAACATCATATAAAAAAAATCTAAATGAAATTTTGAAAAATATCTGCACTCCATTGCGTTGACACCTGCCAACAAAATATATACAAATATTTGAACGCTATAGCTTATACACAGTATCACCATTAGAAGAAAAGTAAAAAAGAAAGTAGGTAAAACATCGATGACATCCGCTCGCAGTGAAACATGAGTGAACTAAACTAAAGCGTAGAAAAATAAGAATAACTTAATAAATGAAAAAGTTACTTGTTTAATGGAACTCGGAATTCGCAGTTTGCCTCTGTTTTTAACAGTTTTGTCATGAATAACTGAATTAATATTTAAAGATTTTAGATCTTTGAACAATTTGTAAAATTAATCGCAATTACTGTTTAAATATGTATTAAGCATAAGAAATTAACGTTAAAAATTTGCGATAGATGGCGGCACGAGAATTATTTTGCGGTCTTTACGGTTTTCGTTGATTGCTAACAGCATATTTATGTTCTGCAATTTTTAATTAAACTGAAAATTTTTCTAATTATGAGATTAAATAAATTCTGCGCTTTTAGAAAAAATATTCCAATCATTTCCAATACTGATCTTAAAATAATCTGTGATTAGCCGATTGCGGTTTTTGCTACACAATACGCTCATGTATTTCATGTATTAGATTCCGAACTTAAATGAAATGCTAAAGGAAGAAAGTACGGTTTAAGTTTTATAAAAATTTATACCTATAATATAATTAATATAGGCCTTTAGGAGACATATTATATGTGTTAGCCATAAAATGATTCTAACAAGGGGCCATATGAGCTTTAATTAGCAATGGATTTCAATATCCAACCTCAATCTCAGTAATCGTTACCATTAGCCAGTCCTAAATAAAATTAAATTACTGTTTGTTTGAAGTTAATTATTTTTTGGCATTTTTTTGCAAAAGTGCCCTGTAATTAAAAGAGTAAATGCTATCTATCAATATATCATATATCATACCCGTGCATACACACATGCATATACACACGCATGTATATATATATATATATATATACGCATGTATATATAATCCATGTACGCATGTATATATATGTATATAAAATCATTAACAATATCTCATAAATACTATTAAATTAAAAGAATGTCTGTGTGATACATATAGTATATGAAAATGTTTTATCAAAATTAAGTTAAAAACAAATGCGATTTTCATTAATTAATCAGTTTTTAGAAATCCTCATATTGGAATTTTGATACGATATATGAAAAATCGCTACGTTGTTTGTCGAAAAATGTGTAAATTAAGAGACGGAATGATTTGCTTCTAATGTGTTTTTCTTTATATCAACAGGGACCTTGTTGGCGTACTGTACGTTTCATGTTGGCGGAAGTCCAGTATGGTGGTAAAGTCACCGATGATTATGATAAAAGACTACTCTGGACTTTCACAAATGAGTGGTTCGATGAAAAGATTTTACATCATAACTTCGAGTTTCACGCCGGATACAAATTACCACCTTGCAACAGCTTGCGTCAGTGCTTGGAATATATCAAGAAATGGCCTGCTGATGACTGCCCCCAAGTATTTGGACTTCATGAGAATGCAGACATTACGTAAGATTTATTTGAATATTTTTCATTTTAAAAGTTATAACACCTACTGGAAGTTTAAAATATTTAGCTTAGAATTATTTATTTTTAATAAAACGTTTGTATCTTTGCAAGATTAAATGAAAATTAGCAGCCAAATTATTCCTTCACATAGTTAGTCATAAGTTTCTTTTTCATTAATAATATCTTTAATACGCATTTTTGAATTACCTAACTACAAGCCATAAAACTGTTCTTATCAGCAGCAGTCTATTGTTTACTTCCTAAAACATAATGTTTCATTTCTATGTTATTGTAGAACTTAATTATAATGTTAATGGGGGGGAGGAGTATGTTGTAAATGAAGAACTATGAATTTATTCCTATCTTCGTTTGATATTACATATCATTGTTAATAGTTTCTGAGAAAGAAATAAAAGAACACTTTTATAATATATTATTGCCTCAAAAGTGGTATTGGCATACTAAGATCCTAGATGGCTGCATATACAGGATATTACACAATGCAGAAACAATGCATATCCAGAATGCGTCTCTTGCAATTCAAACTACTAACTTAATTGCAATTCAAACTACTAACTTTAAGAACTTGTGGAGTATGATTGCTAGAAGGTGTCAACCTTCTAGCAATCATACTCCACAAGTGCTCCATAGGAGACAAATAGTATGAACCGCAAAGACCAAAGAAGAGTTAGAATAGTATGGAGAAAGTTTTTTTTTTTATTTTCTTCCTTTCAGAAACCCCAGTGTTTTAATTGTTTACACTATTGAGGTCTTTGGATAGAGAATCAAAGAAATTTGCTGTAACGGACGCCGAGCTACGAGCTCTCATTTTAGTGACTATTGGAAAATTGTGTTGTCCACACTGTCTGATATTTCGCTATTTCTACTGTTATGATAACGTTGTGGTTGTTGCTATCAGTATGCATACTAAAATACTAAATATCTATATCATCATTTTAACGTAGTAGCTCCAAATATCTACGATATATCCATATGTCTTAACTTATCCTTAACATAACATATCCATATGTTATGTTAACTTAACATATCCATATGTCTACTTAACTTAACATATCCATATGTCTACCATTGATACATCGCATCTTCTTACCTTGTGCTTTAAGTGTACTGGTGTTTTGCGGAATCCAAATATAGATCTCGCCATAAAGCATGTTTTTATGTACTCGCAAAATGCTTCCATGTACGCTATACACTGCACTTATTCAAAGCTCAATTTGTTTCTTGTACTTCACTTTTACAATCACAGGGTCTGCTTTCAGTGGTACTGCGCCCACATTCTATCGGCATAAGCAACTGAATTTTTAATTATTTGAGTTTAATTTGATAAACGTTGTTATAGTTTCATTGAACAGGACTGCGTGGAATCTAGGAGACGAATGCCTTCTCCTTGAGTTTTGAATAAATCTAGTAAAGGGATAATTTTTTACTCAAGTTAATCTGCATCTCCAACTCTGAGCTCTGTCGCATTATCTTTTCTTTCGATAACTCATATGAAGTTATGAAATTCGTATGAGTCATTGAAATTACTAGAAAGAGTTAGTAACCGAACAAGAAGAAAATGGAATGCAAGGGTTTTTAGTTACAATGAATGAGAAAAAAAAGCAACAAATATAAAGATCCTCAGTTTGAGAAATAGTACACCTTATTCAATTCAAGAAATCTTATTTGCTGCAGCATTTTGCATTGGAACTGCCACGAAATAAATTGAATGCATGAAGTGAAGATGTATTTGTCGTATAATCTTAACATTAGAAGCAGTTTTGTCAGAACGCATTTTAAAAACAGTTTTCGATTGTACTGTAGATCGTTACAACATCCAACTAAATAAAATCAGTATTCAGCTAAGTGAAATATGCAGTACAAGCGAGGGAATATATCTCTCTATATGTCAAATGTTACGTGAGAGTGGATTAATATGCCCAGGATAGACGAAAGAGGAGAAAAGACTGCATAGATAGGGATTATGATTGATCCACCATCAAAAATCACTCGGTGGGCACAAAAATATAAGGTACTCTACGTAAGCTAATTTTGCGGTTAAACCTCTTAGTAAAAATGCATGTACAATACTGGTTATTATAAAACCATATTAAACAATCACGGTAGTCAAATAGTATAAAAAATGCAGCGAAATATCCTGCTATAAAAACTGAAAATGTAACATGTAGAAAATTATAAAAATATCAATATTCCATAAAATCGATAAATGAGCATGAAGCGACTAACATATAGTAATTCTTGACTGATTGTGTTTAATCAAAATTTAGAAACCAAAATTTGAATTAGAAAAAATCCATCGATTCTGCTCATCCCTTAATTTTAAAACTATAACTTGTCTTAAATTCAGAACCACTAACAGAAAGAAAAAGATCTCCGATACGAAGCAAATTAAATAGCTAAAATGAAAGGCTATATCTAAAAAATATTTTTAAATTGTCGACCGTTTGCTTATTAACAGCGCTTTTATCTCTGTTTATATATTAGTAATCGCGAAAAATGATTTATTTTGCAATACCTAATAGTAAAAAATATCTGCGAGTACAAAATATTCTTTTAGTTTTTATATGTGAAAAAGACACATTTTAGAATCGTAGGAATGGGGTATATTAAAATTTAAAGTATTTAACATAACAGATAGATGTCAGTCTAAATTTTAATATTAATAATAGGAGAAGAGTTGAAATATGTTGAAGTTTCAATGAAAACGTAAACGACTTAAAAATGTAAGATGAATAAAACTACGCAGCAGTTCTCTTATTTAAAAATTAACACAAACGAAACCTAGGCTAGCATAGACTTTTAATAAAACTACTATATCAAATTTGAGGACGATCAGATGATAGGTCTTTATTCATGACCTTCAAGTGGTAACAGGTTAGAACAAAAAAGGTGCTGGGCAAGGCACCCTGCGTAATAAAAACATGCAAGTTCGTAACGAGATTGAGGACACAACGTAGATTTATATCCGGAGCTCTTTCAGTACAGTCGAAAAGTGGTAAATGAAACAACTTCTTCTTCAGAGGTAAACCAATTTTTTAAAGATATAAGGATTTTGAAAGCTTTGGGAATTACTATATTGGAATGAATATCTAAAGAAGATAATTTTTGTGAATGTGCAAGATTTTGAAATAAATGCAGTTCACTAGCTGAGGAAGTTTTATGGATAATTTTCCTAGAACCAAAGTCGAAATTGCGTTTAGTCCTCAGCTATGAATATTTATCCAATGCTTGTTTATTTTTCATTTCAGAATACAAGATCTGTGTCGGCTGACTCAAATTTTTAACGCTGTTTTAGAGTGACTGATATATATCAAGCTACGCTACAAATTTTTTGGGATCATTAAGAATCGAACAATGAATTTTATTGAATGGAGTGAAGTATTACCTAGAATTTGAACATGGGCAGAATCTGAGCAGTATTGTAACTGGTAAAGGATTGAAATCATGAACATAACAAGATTATTAGGATTATTTATAATAATTGTATATTTATTATGATAGCAAAAGAAAGAGATTTTAAACGTATCCCAATATACAGTGTTCATATTTCTATGCATATTTTAAACGTACTTCACGGACTTTGAGAACCGTATGCTTATTGTAAGTATTTTATTGTAATTGGAGTGAGAGATCGTTATTGAGCAATACATTATTTTCCTTCATATTGCATATGTCAGAGATATAGATATGGTTCTTCAATACAGAATAGGAGCATATCATTTTGCTGGTGTTTGTTGTATTAATATTTATGTAAAACATTCGGAGCGCTATCAGATAACAAGACCTAAAGCTGTGATGCACTAGCTTAAATGTTTACTATCTTAATAAAAGAAAATATAAATTTTAACGAAAACACTGAATTATAAATAGAGGGCGTTTGCTACGCTTTTCTGAAATTTAATTTTTGAAATTAAACAGTAACTCATTTTTGTGCCTATACACAAAGAGTTTGTAATATTGGTACAAAATCGAAAGCTAAAGAAAATAACATGCTTAATACACAATTCCTGTAGTCTACAATCCTTCAATATACAATTCTTGTAATTCTCTACAACGCTTAACACGGCATACTAAAGCTCTTTGATTTCTTTCATAAAATTCATGTTTGGGTATACTATGAAGTCTAAGTTTTGAATCTGTTCAGTGCTATTAAAATAATAACCTTTGAAGTGAAACTTCACTTTATAAAAGGAAACATAGTCTACAGGTGCCAAATCTATTGAATAAAGGAGTGGTTTAGAAATGTAAAATTTGTTTTCTCTAAAAACTGCACGATGAAAAAGAACCTGTATGATGGCGCAATGTATGCAGCAGAAACTGGGAAAAACGAAACACGAATAAATTTTTTTCAAGATCTTAAACAACAGTTTTGTGGGTTGTATTTTCATATTGATGGTAAGCTCATCGAAGAGACAAATGATAATTTTTCAACAATTGGGGAATATTTTCGATGTTCTCATCCTCCAATGAAAAAACAGAATGTTATTTCTATTCTTTGCTCGGCTTTTGAATCCATGGCAGTAGGATGTACCCTGAAGCAAAGCAAACGATTTATAGCAAAGAACGTTCTGTCCGTTACAGTAATAATTGCAATTGTTCAGGGAGTTTTATGGAATTTGTTATGCAAATTAGTATTAATAATTTGTTGAAACACCGTGTAACTATTATAAAAATTACTGAATTTGTGTTAGTGAAATAATATAGATTCATAAACATTATTTTCTATTGCTCTTTTAATAAATATATGATAGTAATAGTCAATTTTGATAACAATGAGAAATGGACCATTCTCTTAAACGGGGATATTATGTTCAATTTAAAACCAAAGACATATATCATCGGCGGACCAACTTGCATTTATTTCACTTCCTTCCCATCCGAACGAAAATACTTTGTTTTAATAAAATCATAAGCATTTTATCTGCTTTCTTTCGAAATCCCTTTCTACGAAGCAACTATTCATTGAATTGAGCAACCGA